ATAAGTCCTTTTGCATGCATACTCGGGTTGGATCACACGTCCTGATCCAACCAATCATACGTCCCCTACACAGTCATAATACATATGTATATAACCTACGTTTCATGTTTTCCTTTACACACCATTATCACGTAACACATAGATTGTTTGTACATAGGCCACGGCCTCCCTCAGATGTCTTTTTCAAGCATGCAAACATTTTTGAGCCACTCGTAGCTATTCCCATGGTATCAACATAATTTTATACATTGCTGCTACAGACTATAAGTCTGGTTCTTGTTATACCCCACACTCATCGTACTACTCTCTTTTACCCATTTTTAGGCTGTCGAGCTTATATAGTTGCTCCACACGGTTTATTCCTGTGATTTATCATACTACCAGGTACGTACACCTGCTCATATGGTATTCTACCATACATTTCATTTCATCCCCCTAGTTTAGAGTACTGGCAATAGGGTCACAGGATTCCCAATAGGTATTTACCCCATCTTGGCTGTCGCCATTAGTTAGTGGTCCCGCGAGGCCAACACCCCGCCTCAAACGTTTCGGAGGCAAACACCCATCGGGCCACACGTTAGCTAGCCGCCTCGCATGTTGCAAAGAGAGGGCCTCACCTGTCACTCCCTTCCCCTGTTTTCTGTCGTACAGTCACCGAGAGGCCTAAAACTCCTGCCACTACGTCAAGTGGCCTCAATAACCCCTCGCGCCAACGCATAGATAGAGCCTCTCAAGCCGCTTGGCAATTAGTAGGGCCTCACCTGTCACCAAACAAGCATAATACTTTCGCCATCCGGCCTAGCTAGCCTGCCAGTACAATTTGGTGGTTCTATATACTAATTATTGTTTTATTTATAGTATGTCTCAGGAAGGGGTAGAGGATTTCTCCCTGCCTAGCACCCCGGCTAGAGCTGTCACTCCCACACAAGGAGGAGAGCTAGCTAGTCCAGCATCAATTAGATCCTGGACAATCCCGCGCATAACCACGGAATTAAGGAGACGACAAATCCCCTACCCCGCTACAGCAAGGAAGGCAGAACTTTTCAAACTGCTACGCACATCAACCAATAACATGGAAGCCGGGGAAGGATCTAGCCAGTCCAACCCAGGGGACATACATGCCATGTTATCCTCACTCATGGCATCCATGGGCAAGGTCAACTCCAGGCTGGAGAAACTTGAGTCGGTCACCACGGCCCTCACTCTAGCAGGGCCAACCGCGGCTGCAGTACAAACACCAGCCTTGCCATTAGTCGCTCCAGCCAGCCCCCTGGATGACCAGGAAGTTAGCCCGGCCCACATGATACCTGAGCATATCAAAAGGGATATCCTGGAAGGTAAAGACGTCAACCTGGCTTCCCTGTTGATTGCCTCCCAGGACATTGTGGAACATAAAACGTATGCTTATGATGATGTTTCTGTTATTGTCAGATCTAGGGATGCCCGCCTAAACAGAAAACTGACTATCCCTGAATTTGTTCTAGCATTTGGTATTTACAGGGATGTCGTCTGTGCGGTCTATCCCAACAGAAGAGAGGAGTTCGATCTCTATATGCACAAGCTGGTAGACCTGGGCAACAAATATGGTGGTTCAGCATTCTATGACTACCATAGGTCTTTTTCTGCAAAAGTGGCTGGAGCCTTCTCCCAGTACGGTACACGGTCCAACTGGGGAAGGATTGATACCGTCTTATTCTGCAGACACTTTGCAGGTCTAAGAACACCAGCTTGTGCATACTGCTCCTCCACAGCCCATACTACCAATTTTTGTCCAAACACGGCAGACGGACATGCCTCCACACAAGGAACTACTTCCTCTGGGGATCCAGGGAAACTATCCACAGACAAATTGGGACGCCCAATCAAGTTTCTGGGCAAGTCCCAGATATGTAATAATTTCAATGTTGGGTCTTGCAATTACAGTGGATGTAGACTATTGCATGTCTGTTCAAAATGTTTTAGGGCACATGCTAAGACCATGTGTCCAAATAAAATGTATTCTAAGCCTTACCTTACGTCCATTAATATGCCAGTATTCACAGCATTGATGTCTCAGCACCCATCTAGACACCTGGTAGATTTTCTTATTTCTGGTTTGACAGAAGGCTTCCACACAGGTATCCTACACATACCAGCTGGCACTCTGGAATGCCCAAACCTACAATCCGCCCAACACAACCCCACAGTGGTTGACACCCTCATAAACCAAGAAGTGGAGGAGGGCTTTGTATTGGGGCCTTTTAGAACTCCCCCATTCACAGCATGGCGCACCAACCCTATTGGTATTGTCACAGGGAAATCTTCCCAAAAACAGAGACTCATCATTGACTTATCGGCTCCCCACTCATCGGCCAACCCCAGTCTTAATTCCCTCATACCCTCTGAGGAATTCTCTCTGCAATACACCACCATAGATCACGCCATTACAGCCATCATACAAGCAGGGGTGGGAGCCTGGCTCAGTAAGACCGACATTACTAACGCCTTCAAATTACTCCCT